ACTGCAGCCCCACCTGTTGTCAATGTGAGCACTGCATCTTCAAAAAAAGACCAAGCACAATCTGCCTAATTCTGACTATATTGCTGAAGCTGCTTTGTGAAGGTTCGGTACCCATCATTAGATCAGGAAACACTGGCACACCACTCATTTAGATTCATTTAGTCTGTGAAATGCACCACTTCATTAGGTGTAGACGCACTGAATCTCTGTCTCCTTGGCAGTGCTAACGTTTGGCCATCTTTATAGTAGAGAGTCTTGCCTGCCAGGCCTGCCACCATGAGACCCACCGAGCTAAAAAACAGCTGAGATGACCAACGGGACGAACCGTGGTTGGGATCTGCGAGGAAGCCTGGACCCAGGTGCGACGAGCTTCGTGATGGTTGGCAGGGGCGATTTGTTCTGCGAGACCCCGACGGTTGGGTCACAGGGAACACAAGCGGGAAGCACGGCTTTTCCATGGAGTATGTCAGCAAGTTCGGGAAGGGGACGCATGACCTGGGCGAGAAATCTCAGAGATTTCCTGCATTGTCAACCACGACTGGAAGCTCCAAGTGACGGTAAGTCTCTATCGACATGCAGATCCTACGGAGAACAACTTGGCACAAGAAATTAAACCATTGCTATTGCAGATTCCGAGGTCAACATCAATGGTAACAACAAATACCTTGAACATCAAATTTTCAAGTTTGGGTTTGATATGAGCCTAAGTTATATGACACAATAAGTAACATATACGCATGTTACAAGTCCCTAGCCACACACACATATATATATATATATATATACATGTAGTTGCATGCATTTGCTTTATTTTGTATCTGAAATCACGACATCTCCAACATCCTCCAACCATGACTATCTTTCAACATGGCTCAAACATCCCGAGGCTCTTTATCAGAGGGACCTAGTGACCTAGTAACAAGTGCACCGCTACTAGTAACAAGACGCATTACTGCTAGTAACAAGAAACTACTAGTAACAAAAAATATCACCAAACTATGTGATTACTGCTTACGCCGACCCGATCATCCTGTGCCTCGTATTGACCAACGACTGCTTCAACGTCCTCCACGGCCGAGTCCACAGGAACCTTCGAAAGCCAAACGACAAACAAGAAATACTGGACCAAAGAAATACACGAGAAAAAAACATAGCGATGGCCTCCAACCTAAGGGCGATGGCCTCCCCGACCGACCGACCGACCGACCGAAGGGAAACATTCTCTTCATCCATGCAAAATTTACTGAGTTGTTAGCCCGGTGCGCAAACAAATATTTCAATACGTCTTACATAAATATGATATTGACATGCGTACTGACTTGAAAGCGGTTGCCACACGCCGGCCTAAGTGAAAACCTGAGAAAGCCAGGAAAGGTAAAAGTACGTTGTTCCAAACCATTTCAAAGCCTGCATGGCCTCCAACTCCAAATCGACAAGTCCAAAGCGACAATGCACATCTGCCGATGATGAACCGATGCAAAGGCTGGACGTCTTGTTCTAGCTACAAGCAGGGCGCGCGATAAAATTTCTCAGGTAAAACGGTAAAACTGCAGGTACGTCTGGCTGATCAGGCCAGATATCAGCACGGAACTTGACCCTCATCGTTGGATCAACAGTCAAGTCCGTGGGTGACCCCCCTGCAAAAGGAAATCCAAAACAGTCCAAAAGGAACCTCGTGACTTCAGAGGGATACACACACGCCAGGCGTCCTTTTCTATTATGCTCCAGACAAGAGTCAAGTTGGGTAAAAGTTGAGCCTATGAGAATCGGTGAATCTCACGGAAGGTCTGATAGGCAGTCAGGGGTAGATGAAGTTGTCCAATGGCATCATCATGATCGTGTGTAAAGGGCGGTATGGAAATGGAGTATCCTCCCGGACTCCCGGGAAAACTCATGGCGGGTGGAGCGAGAAAAGGTGGGGAGGAACTCATCACCTAAGGCTCCGGCAGCCAACGAGTCTTGAACAAGCTTCGGCCGCTGCGGCCACGTACGCTGCTCAGACCGCTCCGGTCACCTAACGGCGTGCCCGAAGGCTGCCTGCTTGTACTCAATACGTAATTCAGCAAGTCTTGGCAAATGACTTTGGCCTAAGCCTACTTCGCCCGCTGGGCGCGTACATCTCCGGCAGGGGAGATAAAGACTACACCCGTTCGACGGGTCCACAGGGGCCACTCTGCGGGGGTCACCCTGGGCTCTCACAAGGAGAGACACGCTTATTGACATGCGTACTGACTTGAAAGCGGTTGCCACACGCCGGCCTAAGTGAAAATGCAAGAAAGCCAGGGCAGGTAAAAGTACGTTGTTCCAAACCACTTCCAAGCCTGCGTGGCCTCCAACTCCAAATCGACAAATCCAAAGCGACAATGCACATCTGCCAATGATGAACCGATGCAAAGGCTGGACGTCTTGTTCTAGCTACAAGGAGGGCCCAAGATGAAATTTCTCAGGTAAAACTGTAGGTACGTCTGGCTGATCAGGCCAGATATCAGCACGGAACTTGACCCTCATCGTTGGATCACCAGTCAAGTCCGTGGGTGACCCCCCTGCAAAAGGAAATCCAAAACAGTCCAAAGGAACCTCGTGACTCCACAGAGGGGACACACACACGTACACACACACGCGGTCCCCTTCAATATTGAAATTAAAACAATACGTCGTGCATTGCGGCGCGTTGCAATCTTGTATACAAGCAGTTCCCGGGCAAGCCGGCGGCGGAAGTTTCCAAAAGAATAGACCTATAGGAAATGGCCATGTGGCAGGCTGATTCGCCGAGCTGCGATGTTCTTTGACAAAACAAGTTGGAACCGACCAATGGAGCGAAAGCGAAGCAACCACCGTCAACTGTCTCGCAGGAAAAACGCTGTTCATGCATTTTGCAAAATACAGAATAGAGATGACTCACCCGCGTACTAAAGTTGTACTACAAAGTCGCCAGTTCTCAGCTTCCAGCTCCACGGCCTGCTCCGCGCACTAAAGTTGTACTACAAAGTCGCCAGTTCTCATCTTCCAGCTCCCTAGACACTCCGCGTACTAAAGTTGTACTACAAAAGTCGCCAGTTCTCAGCTTCCAGCTCCACAGAATGCTCCGCGTACTAAAATTGTACTAGAAAGTCGCCAGTTCTCATCTTCCAGCTCCCCAGATACTCCGCGTACTAAAGTTGTACTAGAATGTTGCCACTTCTCAGACACTCCGCGTACTCAAGTTGTACTACAAAGTCGCCAGTTCTCACCTTCCAGCTCCACAGATTGCTCCGCGTACTAAAGTTGTACTACAAAGTCGCCAGTTCTCATCTTCCAGCTCCGCACAGACTCTGCGTACTCAAGTTGTACTACAAAGTCGCCAGTTCTCATCTTCCAGCTCCGCACATACTCCGCGTACTAAAGTTGTACTCCAGTTCTCAGCTTCCAGCTCCACAGATGCTGTGCCTGCCACGAAATCTGCACATGGAGGTTCACAAAGTGCTGTGCCTGCCATGAAATCTGCACCTCGAGGTTCACCAAAAGCACCTGCCACGAAATCTGCACTTCGAGGTTCACAGAATGCTGTGCCTGCCACGAAATCTGCACTTCGAGGTTCACCAAGTGCTGCGCCTGCCACGAAATCTGCACATCGAGGGTCACAGAGTGCTGTGCCTGCCATGAACTCTGCACTTCGAGGTTCACCAAATGCTGCACCTGCCACAAACTCTGCACTTCGAGGTTCACCAAGTGCTGCACCTGCCACGAAATCTGCACTTCGAGGTTCACCAAGTGCTGCGCTTGCCACGAAATCTGCACTTCGAGGCTCACCGTGCAAGTGCTGTGCCTGCCAGCTGTACTTCGAGGTTCACCAAATGCTGTGCCTGCCACGAAATCTGTAAACGAGCCACATGTCCAAAAGTCACGACTCACTGCACCTGTCACGAAATCTGAGGTCCTCGACGATCACCACCAGGTCCATGGCAAAGTGCTGCACCTGCCACGAAAACTGCACTTCGAAGTAAAAAAATTGGATCCCTTGCACCTGTCACGAAAAGTCGACTTTGGAGCACCAAAGCACGAGGCGCCTGCCACGAGAAGTCACCACCATGTACGAAAATGCGCACGGCACCACAACGAGAGCGCAGTCGTTAGAAGCACCCGCTGCAAACACCCAGATTCAGCGAGCCTGCGCAGTCGAAATGCACATGGACGATGTCGAGAGGCATGAATGTACTGTAAATAGCAGCGAATTAGCCATTCACGGCCACGCGCTTCAGCGATCTAAGCACCTGCTTTTCTATACTACCGTAAGAACCCCTCAGTGTGCCCACACTGTTTGGGGAAAAAACACTGTAAAATCAAATACCAAGTATGTAATGAAAATTGAGTAGCACAAGCAAGCTCAGATCTGCAAATTCAGGGGCCTCAGGGTGCCGTGGACCCACCAAACTAAGCAGTTCCTTAGACAAGTTTCTTATGAAATAATACATGTATGCTAGGTAGTTCGTCGCATACACGCATCAAATCATTATAGAATCAAAGCACAGTGGTCTCCATAAAATCCGGATATATAGATCAATCATGCCATCTTGTTATCTTCAAACCAACAAACATGTTTTTTTCAATGCCCAAACCCAATCATTTCGTAGAGGAAATTACCAAGGGGATTGTGTGTGTGTGTGTGTCTGAAGGTCCGCCACCCCACCCGAAAGCTATCGTGCCTTCAGCACTGAAGGCTCTGAAGGATTGGTGCCCTCAGGACACTGGCATGGGCAAAACCCGAATATTTCTAGCACAGGATGGGCACGCTGGGGAACCACCGATCGATTGAACGGCAAGCGCTGCAGTTTGAGACTTTAAGACATCCACGAGAGACGCAAGGGTTCGTGTGCACTCACACCTCCCGCGAATGGCCTATACAGACCGCGCGTCCGGGCATCCCAACAGCACTTCCAGGTATTTCAAAAGAGAAGTCCCCAACATCATAGTCCTGCAGGCGCTGCATGATGGAGGTTGCTATTGCTGCCCTCAAAAATGCCATTAAAATTGCCAACCCAACCTGACAACTGTGACTAGCAAACGGCCACGTCATTAACTTTACGCCCTACGTGTAGGCCCGCAACGAGAGAAACTGCAATTGAACTCTTTCAATGCGGCACACATCAACTGTCACTTCGCAGAAGAACTGTTTACCTGTTTACCTTGGAGACAATCTTGGTCGTATCAGTTCATCAAATCTATGAAGCTCAAAAGAGAGAGCATCAAATACGTCCAACAGCATCACCAATGTGAACGGGTCTTAGGTCTGAACCACCAATTCCTCATATAATCCTATGGGCCTATGGATCCTGTTCGATAAAGTGAACCTATGAGATCAGCTGGGACTCCCGGCAACAATACTGCAGGCATCGCGGAAGCCCAGGCTGCCCAGCACACCTAATCCGGGAGGTATTTTTGGCATATCGAATCAATCAAATCGAATCGAGTCATATCAAATCTGCAGTCTTTACCAGTCTTTACCCCCCAGATCCAGGATACGTCAGGATCCCGGCTCGGCGCGCCAGCACAGGCCAGGACCTGGCGCAGAATGACTGGTGAGGGGTGGCAACTGATAGGAATGGTCTCCAACCTAGTAGCGATGGCCTCCAACCTAGTAGCGATGGCCTGAAACCTAATAGCAATGGCCTCCAACCTAGTAGCGATGGCCTCCGACCTAATAGCAATGGCCTCTAACCTAATAGGAATGGCCTCTAACCTAATAGGAATGGCCTCCAATCTAGTAGCAATGGCCTCCAACCTAATAGGAATGGCCTCCAACCTAATAGCAATGGCCTCCAACCTAATAGGAACGGCCTCCAATCTAGTAGCGATGGCCTCTAATCTAGTAGTGATGGCCTTCAACCTACTAGCGATGGCATCCCACTACCACGGATTGATCGACTACCCAACAAAGAGCAAAAGAGATGTTCCTGGACTTACTGAGCCAGTGGTCCGAATGTGTCTGGGGAATTGTAAGGCGTTTGCTATCGTTTGCTTGATCCTACTGTTAAAAAGTGAGGAGTTGAGCAAGTGAGAACACCTTGTTTGTTCTGACACCCGCTTTGGCGGTATTGATGGGCGCTTACAAACCGCTTCGCTTCCAATTATGAATGTTGATGGATCATGAACTGGTGCTTGAACTGGCCTTTCTGTCAGTAAATGCCACAGCATCAAGGTAAGAAAGACATAAAGCTGGCAAGTGCCCCTTATGGCTAGCATTGCATGCAGCTGGTCTTCCAACCTCCAAGCGCCGCTCAATCCCCATAGGGCTTGCTTGTCGGCCTCCGGCAGGTGATAGGTAGCAGAAAATACGTGAAAATGCGATTGATCAAACATCACATCAAACGTTACAAACCTGGAGAAACCTTCCCCCTAAAAATCTTAAGCCACCTGCCAACCCTAGAGGTTACCAACCCAATCGAACAGCCAAAGGTCCATGCCGTCAAGCCAACAGCGGAGCTCAGTGCGCCGCTATGTGGGCATGCAGCCAAGCATTTCAGTGCCTAAAACGGTGCCAAGAGTTGTTGGCCTTTGAGTGTCCCAGCTTACAATCTTCCCAATTATAGACTAACATCTGTCCTGGACAATTCTGTTTACAAACACATTTACTCAGAACTCTTGCGAACCCCGTATTCAACTGTTGCAGGGGGTTATCGCTTTGTGAGTGCAAAATATATACTTTTGCAAATGACAAACATGAAGGCAGCACAGCCCATACATGCAGGCATACAGGATCCGTCTGTGCCCCCTTAGCCTAGTTTTAGCCGCAAGTTCCCTGGCAATATAGCTCCCTGTTGGGTCCTTGTAATTATGAATTAAGGTATAGACGGTATAGAGCTACATGGCAGTTCAATAAGATAAATTTGATACGTTAAATTACCCTGCACAAATGCTTGGACTGCTAAGCACGAACATGAACCCTGGGCAAAGAAATGCTTATCTCACCTCCAGTGACAGGACGAAAGGGTGATCAAAGTCTTTATTCTCGCTTGCATTGTTGACATGGGTATGCGTCCACTCTGCACAAAGCCCACAACCCCCATAGAAACATAATTTGTATAAACATCAGAATCACCAACATCGGTTAATTCTTCCCTGTTTTGACCCGAAAGCCAGGCAAAACGACCCAGTTCCCTCTCCATCGCCAAGGTACCCCAAGGAGCACCTTCAGCTCGGAGCCTCCAGTCAGATACAAACTAGCATGGATTAAGACAAGCCCCCACATTGATGTCCCCACCTTGCAGGGAGGATGCTCGGGTATCGGTCATTTCCCCCCTACCAATAGCTAGTCGTTTGACGTTGTTTGCGTGCAGTGGGTGCCCACGTTTGAGCGAGACGGATAAAATGGTCGGCGAGAAATGACAACTGAAGTAAACACAGCGAACACACGAAAATATATATATATATAGTTGTTTACAAAAGGCAAATCATGACGATCTATGTCAAATCGAGAATTGTCATTACCAGCCTCCCAAGAGCCCGCTCACCCCGAGGTGCAAAAGGCTGAGCTTCCCCACATTGCAAAAGCTCCCTGAGTCGATCAACAGCACCTTGGAGCGTTTACTTTAATGAAATAGAAAAAATACTTTAAGGGACCTGATAGCAATGGCCTCCAACCTAGTAGCGATGGCCTCCAACCTAACAGCGATGGCATCCAACCTAATAGAGATGGCATCCAACCTAGTAATCTAGTAGCGATGAATATAACGGTTCATCATGCTTCACCTGCACCACAACGCTTCAGTTCATTGCTATACACCACTCGCTATACTTTGCTGCAGCGTTTGAGGGTCCGGCCTTTGAGCTCCTGATGAATGAACACCACATCATGCAGAACGCGCAATACCTGCCGTGACAGGGAGGATATTGGAAGGGGCTGAACATATCAAACCAGGTTTGTTGGATGCGGTTGGCAAGAGGAAGGCAGTTGGATTGAAGGGCCAACTGCTTCGAGACGAGAGATCAAACGCTCTTAAGAACCTCACGTGGTAAAGTGGAATGGAATGATTATACGGATCATTTCATGTCAAAGGCTTAGAGATCAAGCGAGTAGCATATGTACCAACAAGATCCAACAAGCAGCTTCTGATTGCCAAAAGTTTGAAAATGTGACTCTTGACAGCCGGTCAGAAGTGAAATGAATGCCATGGGTGGTCCTCCACTTTCCACCCATACGTGCCTCACAGACAAGCTCTTCACTTGGAGCTCCCTCTGCAGCACGTTGCACTGGATCTGCGTAGGCCTTGTCAGAAAAAAGTTGGCATTTGGAGAGGGAAGTTTATGCACCGCAGTCATGTTGGGTCAAAAACGCATTCGACCAGCGGGAATCATAGAAGCCTTGAGAAACAAGAATCTCTTCCAGAGCGACCAAGGCACTGCTAAAATGGTGTCAAAGCGGTTGAGAACTGGATGCCACGATGTAGCGGCCTAAGTCTGCACCCATGGTCAAACTTCCAAAACCGGAAGAAAGGCAAACCTCCCAGAGACGTTTCTGGTGGTGAACATATAAACAAAACTACCTGGGCAGTGTTCATGCAGGGATACCATGCACCATGTATGAATTCTCAAACTTGAAAGGTTCAGCACAAATGCTCAATCATATGCGCTATTTTCTACAAAGGCCTACAAAAGTAAGTGCATAATTTGCTGCATAATGTATCGTCTACGTCCACTGTTCTCTCTAGGCACTCCGGCACCACGCTCCCAACGCTGCACTTTCAACTCCCGCAGCTGAGAAAGCAGCTCAGCCTGCCGTCTGGTGAGCTGGACCGGATGGAAGCAGGGTGGGCCCGTATAGGCATGCATAGGATATGTAGACGAGAAAAGCAGTTCCAAGCAGTTCCACTTGGAGAAAATATGACGAAAACTGGATCTTATGTGTTTGCGTACCTGGATGTCCTGGAGCAAAATGCCTCAAAATGACTCTGTAAAAGCACCTTGTGTTTCAATCAAATTTCATGCATCTAACGTGGCATCTATGCAAAGACTGCATGAGCGATGACTGAAGAGTCAAGATCCGAAGTTCAGGTCACTTTACAAAGTTGAGACTTCGAATTCCTACCAGTCACTAGGTAGACTATGCCCATGGCAGCAGTTCACTCACAGCCCTGTAGCCTCATCAAATGCCACGTGCTTAAGCATATCCCAATGAGCCGCAGGTTCTTCCTGGAGATTCTGACCTGTGAATCTCATCTCCCGCCTGTGAGCACTCCACCAGTCGATCCAGGGTCCAACTCAAGGAGATCGCCCTCAGCCGGAGTATGGCACGAGGAAAGCAAAAAGACGCGGATCGTCAGCAAGCAATCGAATGCTTGCAGCTTCTGCAAAGCGGAACCTTGTGAATCCGCCAGTCGAACAGTCACCTCTGAAAGGACATTATCAATGTACAGCTGAGACCCCAACGGTTTCAGTGCCAGCGGCGATTTGGGCCGACCCGTGCCCTGCTGCATAACGCCCTTAGCAACTTGGACAATGCAAATAATGGGATGTTCTGTCCGTTTATGAGTCACTAAAAATGATGGCATGCTCCGCTTGTGACACATGTGCTTCTGCTAGTGAAACTCCCGAATATTTTTAATTCGCAGTCAGTAAAGTTGAATGACCCTTAGATATCATGAGTCAAGGGAAGTTCAAGAGTTTGTCTTTAATAAAGCTTGCAATAAACCAATGCTACTTGCCGATATTTGCTGGACAAATCTGGAAAGCTTCTTGCAGCTAAGGAGTGGGCAATTACTGTCAGCGGGCGGGTGAGGCAGTGAAGCTCTTGATTGGACGGTGAGGTCTTGCCAGTCCTATCCTCCTTGGCTAGGGTAGATGGTCGGGTACACGAGAGGTAAGCTGGTCTACGTAGCCTGTCTTTTCAATGTGAAGCGCTTCAGTCGTCCACTTTGCAAAGATCTGGTCAAAAACAATGCACTGCTCGGGTTCTGCTTTGTCAGGGAGTACTTGCTTTGGTTGCGCATCAGAGCGATATTGTATCGATCTGAGCCAAATCCGATGAAAACAAAATTATGTATATATAAGTTATATTATACATACACGTACTTAAAGCTGTACATCGCCAGGCATGTCAGGATGCACTGAAGTTCACTAAAGTCACTAAAGAGGCGCCCAATTTGTTCAATATCCTTTGAAAGCTCGTCTAGGAGTCTCGGATTCACATGGTGTCACAACTAATCATATAAATGTATACATATGTGTATTTTATATATCGTATATACATAGATATATATATATATATGCTTGTGTCAGGCTCTTTCACATGAGGGATGACTTGCCTCGGGCCTCATGGTGTTGAAATTGCTTTTCCCAAGCACCGCTTGGAGGAAGCTCCAGCTCTTTTTTTGTGCAATCAACAGGCAAAGCTCTCGTGCGGCTGGCATCTGTCCATGATTCTCTTCGCTGAGCCCTACCTAACTCTACTTCCCAACACTTTGCAGCTTCATTAGTCTTTGTATTTAAGTGTCCTGGCATTGGCCTTTAATTGGTTAAATTGTTGCATCATTCAAATCAAGCAAAAGGTCTAATTGCCCCTTCTCTAGCAGCCTTTTCTGCTGCTGGTGAGAGATTGGGGACTGGCACGCAGGTGGCAGCATTCTAACCCCACTGCCCTAAATATGCACACGTCACCATGTTGCACTTTTTGCAAAGGCGAGCACACTGGTGTGACGATGGTTCACGCCTCCAAGCCAAACTCGCTCTTCGCTTCGAGGAGACTACAGTAAAAGCGACAAGTCCCAAGCATGATTCCTTGACACCGGCGAGGCGAACCTCCGATGTGGGAGAAGACATTTTTATCAAGTTTTCATGATTGGCTGGGGCATACTCCAACTCGTCACATCGTCCCTAAGCTGCTCCAAGTCTCTCTCAGAATAATTGCACCTTCACACTGAACCCGTCAAACATGCACATCTGAACGCATCAGGTGTTCAAGAACATGCAAAGTGATTGACGAGTTCTCTTCTTATACGTCTTGGGTTCCGGGGGGAGTATGGTCGGAAGGCTGAAACTTAAAGGAATTGACGGAAGGGCACCACCAGGAGTGGAGCCTGCGGCTTAATTTGACTCAACACGGCCCATGTTGACGCAAAACACGTCGCGGAAACCCGGATTCAGGTAGTTTCGGTCACCCCCACCAAACGACCTGGGACCGCCCAGCCGGCCACAAAACTACATCAAGTTCCGTTCAAACGCTTGTGAATAAACACAAGAATCCTCCCCAAGCTAATGATGCAAGCCCATCGTGCCCATAGGCGTCCCTCAAACCAATCCACATAGTTATGAGCTCCTCATTCTGCATATGTCTGCGGAAAAGAACCTGCAACAGCTTGCCTGCTGCTAAACCGGACAAAAAGGCACAAGCGGGAATTGGCAGCTCCTTCTCCTGCAGCAGCCTTTCTTTGCCCACACAGACCTTTCTGCATACATTTGTAGCACATTCATCTTTTTGCCAAAACAAATATCTCAATGATCCGCGATCTTTGGCAAACTTGGCTTGGGTCGGCCACTTGTTTAAAGCCAAGAAGGGTATCTAGAGCTCTCTCTCATCCCCGAGAAGCAGGGAACCTTGCCCCCACCCAGCCCTGCTCAGCTTGCCTATGCAAATCCAAAGCCTTCATGACCTTCACTGACAGCCTCCCAGAGTTTCGGAGGGTGGGGAGACCCAATCCAAATCGAATCATGTTGTTTAAATATATACATATCAGGGTGGCACCTCAAAACAAGTTGCCATCTTGCTATCACGACAGCTCACTTTAGCTGTGCTGTTGCATATCTTTAAAGCGATGCATGTTGCATGTTCAAATTCGCATGTCGGATTGCCTTTGTGTTTCAACGAACGGTGCTCAAAGGTCTCTGCATCACCAGGGCCAAATATGTATGAGAATAGATATGCGGACAACATGTGCGCTATGACGGATATGTGTTTTGTTTGGCAATCCGAAAGCTGTTGCAGAAGAAGGACTGAAAGTGCAGAAAGTCTATATCCAGCGGCCTGTGCTTCAATTGCAGACTTGGGCAAGATGGAAAAAGTGTTAAGAAGCATCATCAAAGTAAAAATTGTTTTTTTGGGCCTTTAGTTTTGCAGGCTGTTTTCGGGGCAAGGCGACCTATAAGGGACAAACATCTGCATGGAGACCATATCGAAATCAATACGAGCATGATCCTTAATCATGAAGATCCTAACTCAACAGTTGGTAGAAGTATAGCCCCGATTCTGGTCCCCTTCTTTCGCTCCGGCAGAACGCTTCATTGCAATGAACGGGTGATCACTATATAGATGGCGTCACATAATGGCATAGAGGGCAACCATACATAAGGATAATCAAAGAGGCCATGGAGGTCATCGCCTTTAGGGTGGAGGCCATCACTAGGAGGGTGGAGACCATCGCTCTTAGGTTGGAGGCCATTGCTAGTAGGTTGTAGGTTGGAGGCCATTGCAATGAAATCTCATTTAGACCACACAAATCCCAGACCCAAGTTCCGCCTGCAATAACTTCTCCCGCAGCACCTCTTCCGAGGGGTACTCTGGAAGATCCACCCTTGGCCGTCAAGGAGTTTGTATACAAGTTGATCCGCTTTGCATTTGGATGCGAGCCAAATCCTGCTTGCAAAACATTAATATGGGGAATTGTCTTGCAATGTCCCCGGTTTGACTGGCTCATTCCTCTCGTTTGTGATAGGCTTGCTGGCAGCTTTGCAAAAAGCAAACCGCAAATCGCGTGTCAGCTCAAAGTGGAGTGGCATCTTGCAATCTGAAGCACTTGATGCAAAAGGAAAGAATCTGAAAGAGAGCTACTCAGAATGCCAGGCCCACTGGAAGTCGGAACTATGAAGATGTCTGGCTTATTCAGAGGCAAATTGAAACTAGTTCCTGCAAGCTCAATACCTGACTTCCACATACCAAAAGGCCACTCAATAGACTCAAACATACTCAAATAATTAGGGTGGAGGCCATCGCTACTAGGTGGAGGCCATCGCTATTAGGGTGGAGGCCACCCCTAATTACTAGGGTGGAGGCCATCGCTCGTTGGAGGGCCATCGCTAGTAGGTCAGAGGCCATTGCCATGAAATATGATGTTCCCATATGTTCCCAGTGGCTGATTGAAGCAGGTGTGCGCTGAGGGGAGTCTCTCCGCACCTGCAACAGGCATTCAACAAACAGTATGTCATTCCTTCACCCGACATGAGCTGCAATGAGAATCTGTACCTCAAAGTGAGCACTTCGGTACATTGCTGCAAGCCTTTGACCGTTCCATAGGAGTCGGTGGCTATAACATGCTATAACCAAGGACCATCGATCAGCCTAGTGGCCTATGGCATCAGCCTGTAGAGATTCAACGAGGGAATGAATCCGACGCACTCTCCCCACCATGGCTGGGCTTCCCACCATATGCACGATGCAAAGAGAACCTCTGCGGTCCTCTCATGCCCACAAGGCCCTGAGAGGCAAGTATGGGGGGAGCCAGATGGAGGGGCCGCCAACAACAACGAAGCAACACCTCATTAAAGCGGACCCACGTTAACTAGCCTGACTTTGATATGTCTGAGCTTTGTGTTCACCTAAGGTTGGGACAGACCCCCCCCGATGGGCCTTGAAAACCTCTGGCCGCTTTGGCCACCTCGTGCCATGCCAAAATGGTGGGCGACTTGAGTCCGCTGCGGACACGTTTTGGCTTGCCCGAAGGCTGCCTACTTGTTTTCCTGTAGTTCAACAGATCCGGGCATACGTTTGTGCTAAGGCTCCTTCTGTCCGCTGCGGATACCTCTTTCCCGGGCAGGGGGAAGTTAGACAAACCCTTGCTCAGCAAGGCCATGGGGCACTCTTCGGGCTCACCCCGGCTCCCACGAAGGGGAGCCACACTCGAGATAAGGCGTACTGAAATTGAATGCCACATGCCACACCTCCACCTAGGTATGAACGCCTAGGAGTTCCGGGAAAAGGTAAATGGTGTAGTCCCAACGCACCAAAATGTAAACACCACAGACAGTTCAATGTTCAGGTCCAAAGCGCAATGTCAAAGCATACATCTGCCGATGAAGAACCGCTGCAATGGCTGGAAGATTGTTCTAGTTCTAGTTAATCAGACGCGGTATCCCATGATGGTGGTAGCTTCGTTGAGTGCCCACAATCATGCCGCACTCCCCTGCTGAAATCAACCGATTCCCTGTGATTCCAAGGGTTTCACACACACACACTACTGGTACGGCCATGGTATGCCATGGTGAGGCAGCCTTGAAGCCTTCCACAGGCACACGTGAGGTGCCAGTGGCAAACTGCAAGAACCAGGCTCTTTGCTCCTGCAAGGGGCAACGTGCTTGTCGCAAGGTCTTGGGGTTGAGCCGGACAAGCTTTACAATACAGTGCCTGCAGTTTCGATTTGGTATGATCTGACATGATGAAAAGCTTCAGTGAGTGTTTTCCTGATATCTTGTTCATCACAACACAAAACAACATTACAGTATGGCTGCAAAATGCTGAAACCAAGTGTGATTCTTCGCTCTTATTCTCAATCATGCTGTACTTTTCGGATTTTCATCGTATCTACCTTTGATCATGGTTCAAGATACTTGAAGAACTGTTCCTTGCAACCTCTATACCCGGTCTTCTTGAATTGAGTAATTAAACATGGCTGGCGTCCACTGAAGCCTGTCCATAAAGGGATATAGAGAGTATGTACTTCTTCAGTGGATGTTCAATGGGTCCAGATATGTCCGAACTGGGTTTGCCCGAACTCGTTCACCATGCCAGTCCGACCAACACAAGAGTAAGTCATGCAGCAATGCGTTTCTTAGGTTGAGACAGCGGTCGTAACCTGCTATGCATTTAACCATCCCTGTCCTGCGTGAATTCACTCAGGACCTTCCAGAACCTTGTTTGTGCATGCATCTATTTCTTTCATTCTCTAACATGCTCCATCATGCTCTCTCTCTCTCTCTCGTTCTTTCTCTCTTTCTTTTCCTGTAGAACCAAACTTGGGCCCTGTTCAATTAACATCATCAAACATCAACATGACAACTGGTACGGATGACAGAAAAGCAATGAAAAGTCGCTGGAGCCACACCAAACCAAGGGTTCTATATACGCTGTTCTTTCAGGCTCCCTGCCATTGGACTTGATCGGACTGCGGTGTGTAGTTGTGGTACTCGGTATTCTGCTTCAAGTCCTGAGCATTTATCGGTCGATCGGCTTCCGGCTTTGTGGCAAGTCACAAGTCCATGGCTTGCAGAACGACAACTAGAACATCGGGGAGCCACACTTGTCTAGATTCTCAGAGATTGGTGACTTACTATCTCAGCACAAAAGGACTTGCGGTCCTCAATATCGATATCTGGCAAGCCAGAGATCAGTAGCTCCAACTCCTTGTCATCAAACAAGGAAAGCCTTGGAGTCACGAGTCAAGTCACGACATCCAAACCTCATCAACTTGCAGTATTACAGCAATCCATTTTAGACCCTTTTGCACATTGACCCATGTTGGCCCAGGCTGAAGTCTCTACACAGTTTGACCTTCAGATCTACGTTGCCACCGCCGAGCTGCAATTGGGGCGGCACGATCTCATGCAATCCTTGTGGAGACCCAAGAGATTGGGCCAGCAGTCTACAGTTCCAATTTGAGTCCACTGTTGAACACTGGAATATACTTGCAATTGCTTTCACCTGCAGGCTTGGAAATAACCTTTGTTGGAGATGCAAAACAACTGATTTATTTTGTTTATTACTCTACATGGTTCTGAGGCTCAATTAAGTGCGAAGTCGCCTTTAGGAGTCTGATGAGCCTGTCATATGGTCATTATGGATCGCCGGATCAGTGTGAAGTCCCGAGAAGCCTTCAAAATAGGTGACTGATCTACAACATCGGGCTGTAGGCCAGGTTTTGACCCCTGCTATCAATATCGTCAATCAAACACACCAGCCCACCTTTCAGAAAGTGCTCAATCTGCTGCTGCACCGAGTTTGTCCTTGGACATGCCGATGCTCTGCCAAAGACACACGAAGAGGGCTGGTCCTGCCTGGTAAAAAAATAGCATTCTGTCAAATGCTGGCTGAGGTACTTAGCTGGTGTAAGGGTTTGGTTCATAAATAGCTGCGACCAAGCCTCATGGGATTGATTACACATAGTTATCATAGTTACACAGTTACACATAATCTTACTTCGACCATCTTCGACTGAGTTCGACTGTCACAGTCTGCGGCAGCAATCAGTACATAGCAGCAGGATGTATTTTGCGACACCCCTTTTTGCATTCTTTCGCAACTAAGATAGTGACATTTTGTGCTCCGAGACCAGCTGAATGTACCTGGTTTCATCTGGTTTTTCTCCCAACGATTGCAGAAAGCCCTCTCGGCCTCTCGAACCAAGCACCCAAGCACGGAGCGCTTGACGATTCGCAACTTCGGTGCTTTGGTTGCAAACGACCAAAAATATGAAGCAGCAATTTGAATTAGCTTAACAATTTCCTTCAGTTGGTCACTCATGCTTGTTCTCGTTGGTGACTGGGAGATGTCGTCCATTGGGCTTCAAGTCGACTACCTGCTCAAGAGGTGTCAAGAGGCACGGCGATGCTAAGTCACACTACTGCAACTCTCCTTGGCAAATTCCGTCAACATTCAAAGACAAAAAATGTCAAACTGATCCCAATTGCATTCATATCCATACCTTTGAGTCCTCCCATGTTCCTTTCGCTTGAATGCTTTTCCATTCTTACTCATACTATTGTAGGGTTGATCTTTGAGCTGGCAAACACTTTGCCTCTGAGAGCTACCCAATAAGGTGCCAACAGTGAACGACTCAAGCTTCCTAGATCCAGTGAGCACGATACCCGCTCCTGTCTGTGAGATCTAATCCCCATCTCTCTCTCTCTCTCTCCCTCCTTCCTTCCTTCCTTGCTTGCTTGCTTCCTTCCTTCCCTCCTTCCCTCGCTCGCTCGCGCTCTCTCGCTCACTCTCTCTCTCTCTCTCTTTCTCACTCTCACTCGCTCTCGCTCCCCCTCTCTCTCTCTCTTGCTGTCTCTGTGTCTCTCTTTCAAGACCAAACATGTCACCCAGACCGCGCAACTTTCACCCATTTGCTCACCTTCACTTGACCCAGCTCGTCGCTCTCGGCCGAAAAGCTCAGCTCAATGATCTCACTGATGTCCTGGGCGAGGTCCCTGCTCCGTGTCGCTGTGGCTAAGCGGCTAGCCCAAACAAGAAAAGACAAAAGAAATGGCAAAAGCATAACCACAGTCAGATTGATTTTGAACACATATGAAGAGATGATCATCCATTACCAGGTAGGCAGTGTCAACTTGGAGTGTATACGTACTGTATATGTAATCGATTGAATGGAGTTGTATAGAGTGATAAATATTGCATTGAAAAAACTACGAGTACAGTTCAAATTTGCGCTTTCTAGTGGATGACTGTACGGCTTGGGGCCCAGGGTCTTTGCTTGACCTGCTTATTTATGACATGTATTGCATGTCAGCAAATGCAGGTGTGTGGTGGGACAGTAGAAGGTACGGATGTGCATACATGCCCACGTTTATCGACAGAGAGAACAACAATTAGGTCATTAATTTGCCCTCGCAAAGAAAAAGTTTGGGAGGCCACCAAACAGTGCGATCTTCCCTCACCCACTGGAAAAATCATACGGTGGTCGGTGAACACGCACACTTGGGGCACTTTGGCACCATCCATGTTAGCATGTTACCTAATGCTTCCAGCAAATCAAAGGTCGCTGCTGCTTTGAATACTACGTGAATCAAAAGCTTTCATATCAGAAGCTTGACACTAACTTTCAAGTTTCAAGGATGTTACCCACGATCCCATAGAATGAGATGGCAGGTTGGTTGGAGGTTTGCGGTGCTGGTCTCTACATGTCTCTACATGCTCAGAAAAATGGCAGTGGAAAGCCTGGAAAGCACTCCTGTTCGTAACTTGATCTAGGAGACATGGCATACATACAGCTGCATGTTCGACTACATGTCATATTTCCTCGCCACTGCATCGTGTGAGTCGACCCGGAGTCACATGGCCATCCGAGGCTACGGCGTGATCCAACATCCTTAGAGCGGCACGAGAGATGAATGGATTTCAACTACAACCCAGGAAAACCCCAACCATGCCTAACCTGATTAGATGGGTATGTCGAGTGAGGCTGAGGTGTTTTGGAATTCAAGGAGATCCAACAAGGCTATTATACTTAAGATTGGCCGTAAAGGTGTTTGCACTTCCACTTACTTAGATGGAAACAAGACACAATACAGCAGAACGTCATCAGATTTGGGCAATATGAAGCGTCTTCAGCACCTTGCATCCCACCAAGAACCAGGGCGCAGACCATTTGAGGTTGGAGAAATATTCTGGATCGAAGGCTTCCAAGTCAGCGGGTATGACCTAAGAGAATGGTCTCACAAACAATTCTAGAAATGTGTTCTTCCCATGCTTCAAGAGTTGCTGGGTTCCTTCTTTTTCTTCTTCTTGTGACCAACACTTGAAATTGAGGCTGCAAATTAATGGAGATGTGTTCTGTTGTTGAAGACGAAGACTATCCTGGTTCAAGCCTTTACTCTGTCCTTGCAATTTGTGCTACAATATACATCAGGTCTTGAGACATGTGAATTGGCTGGGCAACCAAGATTCTCTAGGATGTCTCCAAGTCCTATTAACCCAAAACAGTCGGCATGTCCTATCTGATCAGTTCTTTTCTTGAGATGCCAGGTCCCTATCTCCAACCCACAACAGCAGAACTGTAGTTGAAGCAACAAACACAATCCCGGAGTACATTACAACATGAAAAAAACTGAGGAAGCGCACCTTCTTCCCAAGCATGTGCTTGTAGAAGCCTCTTGTGAACCAAGCCTCTAGGTTTTGTCCGTCGTGAATCGCCTCCGCACAGGTTGGGTCTAAGAATCTAAGAACCCAGGCAGATGCATCAGAAACTCAGCCAGGACAAGGTCATGACCAGCGTCTGTGTAACATGGGAATATTATCTTTGCCAAAGCGTGACTAGGAACAAATGGTGCTGGACACTGGACATCTTCAATTTTGTGCAGTCGCCAGCTAAAAGAGCCAGAACAGGCGAAACATGTCAAAACTCTTGCAAATGCCCACTACTTGACATTGTCTGCGGATTTGAGCTGCTGCCTGCCTTGCCAACCACCCTTCCAATAAAGTGGAAGAACTGCAAATGGTCTCTATTGACATACGACCTGAGCAGAACCATTCCTCTGATGAGCAATGGGTCCGAACAACAAGTTGCAAATTGTTCACACACTCGCAATTGAGTCTGGAATAATTGCATTTGTCTGATCACCAAAGCACACGAAATAGAAACCCTAGATTAAGAAACCCAACATTAGAGTCTACCTGGCCTCAGACTTCTGATTCAACCACTTGGGGTCAATAAATATTCTAGATTCTAGACTCTATCGACAAAATGGGGATTTCTCATCACAAACATCAGCCGTAGAAGCTTTGCCTCCCTGTTGGAGGCAATCCGAAGCCCGACCAAATCGGGCATCCCTTAGGTAGAGACCAACCCAATGAATAAAGCCAGTCTAGCACCCCGGACACAGAGTGTCATCAACACCAGCAAATTATAGTACGTTGCTTGTTACTACTAGTAAGGCACTTGTTACTAGAAGCGATGCACTTGTTACTAGTAGCTTCTTGTTATGCTCAAAAATCACCAGCTTGGATGTGAGGACCCCCATAGAATCCTAGACACTCCACACATTCGCCATCCCGTCTCAGCCCAGCACATTGGATTCGGATGGTATGTGCAAGCCTGGTAGAGCGGTACACTGCAATTATAAGCCTGCATCTGACGTCTTCGTACATGCAGTGTAGTATCCTTCATCGTACACCCCGAGTGGAACGAGTTCCTGTCTAGGGCCTGCAAGTCGCCCTTGTCTAAACCACCGCTCTCACTGTACCCCTTGCCGGTGTCTCATAAGCACGCTGCAACACTCGGAGGGAGAGCACCGTCAGTAGAAACCAGCAACCACCAAAAAGCACACCAACACTCAAATCCCAAGAGAAAAACACCGAGCACGGACAATTGATGGATGACAGGATAGAATTCTAGACTCTAGACACAAATCACTCCTGTCGTAACCAACCAATGAATGACAAATGTTTGATACGATCTATTCTAACAAATCTGTTATATGGATTGCCTGCTCATCAACTGGATGACCGAATCCTCCTGCCTTGCCACCTGCCTGAACAAAAAGCGCCTTGGCTGCAATTCCCACCAATCAATTGCAACAAAACAAGGCCAATGAATCTTGGAGCAAGTGCCGAAGGTTGTATATTTCATAGGGGCCACCCTGTACCAAAATACGGGAACCTGACCATGATGTATTTGACAGCAAGCCTGAATCCCATGGATGGGTGGACAGGAGGAGAATGCATGGCAGCCATGCATAGCCATGGGCTTCAGGTCTGCGTTGAGTTTTGCTCATAGCATCAATTGGCTGCGTTCCCTTGTACTTTTAACTGAGGAGCAAGTATGTTTTGTGCACCGTATTTCACCCATGGCTGAAGGGATTTTCGCTAGGGCACCTCGAGAACATCTCTCTGCATGGCAGCCGCAATCTATCTTGGCAGAAACCAAATGCAGCCAAGCCACGTAGTTCGGATTAAAAATTTCCTTCGCAAGCGCTCCATACCATTCCTGCGCTAAAATGTGTGGCACAAAGCAAACGTGGCCCCCATGGCCCTTAGGCCCTTACGGTTCCGTTGTCGGCCAGAAGCAAAGCTGATTTTAAAATGTTGAACCAACCTCGACCTATTGGAGTTGACTGCAGCGCTGCTCCAAGTTGCTATGTGTGGTGCTGTTGCTTTTCCACATAGTGCCGCAAGAGGGATCAAAAAGATGTCTTCTTTGAGCAGGTTGGAAGCTTTACCTTCTGAGTGCCCTTCGGCAATTAGTACATATTATAACACAATACAATCAACAACAAAGGAACAAGGAATTATTGCACTCCCTGCAAAAAAGAAAAAAACAATCCATTTGCCTCAAGTAGTTGAGGCGATTTGTGGGTTATGCAACAACCCCTTGAAGATACTTGAAGTACAACTTGAAGTAGCGCTGGCTCAACCAAAACTAAGAGAGCTGAATGCACATGATGTTAAAGTAGGCCTACTGGAAATCAACGTCTCTCATCTCTCGACTCTTCGCCCAGTGTCCGTCCTTGGCCACCCCTCCAGCATCAATTCCTTCCTCGCCTTGAAATTGGACCTTTCGTGGAAATTCATGAAAGTTCCTCCGTTTCTTGCTCAGTAGCTTTACTCATGACTCATGATCTCTTGGAGCAGATATTGCTACCATACCGACCCCGTCCTAGGACTAGAGTGTGTCTAGGTGGGGCAATGCCTGGGATACCAAAGGCTGCGACACTGGCCCTTGCTTGTGGGCCCAGCCTCTGTTCCGACTTTGGGCCGCTGTGGATTCGACTCGCGGGACGTCACAAGTGCAAAGTCTTCTCCAACCTAATAGCAATGGCCTCCAACTAGCGATTGGATGACAAGTGGGTTTACGTCTACGTAGGCTTCGAAACCGACGTCTGGCACACTTACGGACGCTGCCCGGGGACCATTTTCGCAGAGTTTTGTTCGCAGAATTTAAGTGGGCTAAGGCCATGGCAGAGATGTTGCTGGATTTTGCTGGCCTTCTAGCTGGCCTTGCTATGCCTCGCCCTTTGGTAGGTCCACCGAGATTTGAGCTAATTAATCGATATCCAGCTTTCACTCCAGTGAGGATGAGGCTATGTAATCACCTTCGCACTCCTTCATCCAAACAAGCTGCACAACAGACCCCCTCGAATCCATGCTTTGATGCTGCTACGACACAATGCGTTTCGTTTCTCACAGACACAAAAGAGGGGTCCATTCTATTTGTCAAAACCGGCGACCTTCCACCTTTTGCTTCAAGCTATCGCACAAACCAGAGTTGATATTTGGAGGGTGAAGAGTTTATCAAGACCCGGACCCGGGTTTGAACAAGCCATCTTGACCACGCAGCATCACGCCGCAGCACTCCCTCATCCGGGACCCCTTCGATACTCCTCTAGGATTGTACGTACACTTTTTCTGTGAGCAATCTGTGAACCCCTTTCAACGCGTGTGCCCTTCACCTTGAAATCATCGCAAGAGTCAAACATGTTAGAAACCAGAATGTTCGATGCTCATCTATGCCCTAAGACTCTAGAATCTTCAGCAGCACCCCTGATGGCCCAACCTGAATCTTGGCCCGCATCTCGTCACCGGTCCGAACGCGGAGCTGGTGATAGGAATCCTAGGAAACAAGTTGATCAGGTCCGGGAACAGGAAAGAAATTTGGAGCCTCAGAGATCAGTAGGATGCAATTGTTACCGTTACTGTACAGTAGCATCTGTAATCTGAACGGTTTTGTCACATGTTCATTGGTGAGCCTCATGACCCAAGCCAAACGTCCGGCAAACAAATGCTAAGAGTAGGTGCAAGGCTTCAGTTGGTTCAGTGGCAATTCTTGGCCGTCTTTCTGACCATGCCCTCCATTCTTGACTGGTTGAAGGTCATGTGTGCCCAAACTCACACACACAGGCATTCATCCTCAAATCCAGAACCAGAGGTAGGAATTGAACTCATTGCATGCACGACCCCTTCAGAGAAAAAAAAAATGTCCATGCTAGTTAGTTTGCAGGAGGATACATTGGGCATCCCAAGCCTCCTTTCACCGGAATTGTATGTACAATTAAATACTGTATTATATATAATACAGATAACATAACACAACATAATATAATACAATATAATCTAAATTAATATAATATATATATATATATGCAAGTGGATTAGAATGTCTTGACGTATTGAGCCAATTTGTCTGTGCCCAAGATGACCCCTTTCCACGACACTTCTTCTGAGCTTGGCACCATGAAAATTTCGTTGCGCCGAACTCTCAAGCGGATCGTTTGATATCTGCTTTCAAGGCGTCGAGACCTCAAAATCATGAACACACGACTCAGAAAACCACTTACGCCTTACGCTTGGTGTGGGCCTAAGCTCGCTTTGACATAGCAATCTTCTAAGTCGAACATTGTCTCAAGGAATCCTGTGACGTCTCCTGTAAAGTTCCGCTAAGGGATATCGTCAGCCCAGGTGCTGGTTGTCCATGCATGCTTTTGGTGTCCAACATCTGGCCATCAAGATTTGAAAAAGCATCTTCAACTCTAGTTCGACATCCGGGCAAACTACAGTAAACGCAAAAATGGTTCAACTGACATTGGCATACAATTTATGATTTGTGGTTTATGCAATGCACAATTGGAAATCATCGGACCTGTGCATCTGTTTGCAAAGACCAGCTGTATGCTAGGGGCACCCTTGTTTCGGTATGTAAAAACACCTCCGGCACTTCAGGACTCGGGTCTCTAAGTCGGACAATCTGACAACATATACTGAAGTAGACCTGTTCAACGACAACTGCTGCCTCAAGGAAAGTGAAGCATTGATGATTGGTGTCTTACTGAGTACCAGCACACGTGATCATCCATATTCAAGCAGGTTGAGACTCCTTTGGACACTCTCAAGAACATAGAGTTGCGCAAGACAAGGACATTTCTCGAATCAAACAAGTTCTCTTTGAGGTGGCTCTCTCTCTCTCTCTGTGTCCATTGAGTCTCCAATGACCCGCTTTTCCACTGAGTACGGTGCCGCAACTGCGACCTGGCAGTGCAGGTCCGTTTGTGACACTGGTCACAATGCTTTGACGTCTGACCATTGTAACCGCTGTGGAGGTCGCAAAGCTCGGGTTGAGCTCTACTGGGGATTTGAGAACAGCAAACAGCACTCCAAACTCCGCATGGGTGAAACTGGAAGTGCCAAGGGTTTCTCTCGGTTGGCCCCGCCTGAAATAGGCTCGCTTGTTGTCGAAATCTAAACAGCTGGGCATCAGTTGGAGCACCGGCTGAAAGGACTTGGACAGCAAAGATGGGGTCTGCTTTAGCAGCGCGTTCCTCGGGGCCGAAGCGTTCACAACGATATGGCCTGCTTCTAAGGCATCCAAGCACCGGAGGTCGATTCCATACCTAAAGTATGCTACAGCTTCCAGCTATAGTTGCTTTTCCCCGATATCTGCTACCCTACCCTACTAAGATCATGTAAAATCATGAAGTTGATGTACCAGCGAAATACTGCATCACCCACAAGCAGTCACAGCGATGCAGCTTAGTCTCAACGGGCGGCGGTGCTTCTTGCAGAACTGGCCAAAGCGGCTCTTTTCCGCCGCAGACTGCCTGCAATTTGACAATTCTCACTACGTGGGCAAGCAACGGCAAGCAAATCTACACATATCACATATCTATAAAGAGAATATGGATCGGGGAATCCGTGTTTAGGCCTGAATCATGTTAACGCCTTAATAATTACTCTTTCAGAGCGGACATTCATTCAGCCACGCTGCTCATGAAACTCCGCGAAGACATGCTTCGGCCTAAGCTGATGGAGGTTAGTGCTTTGGAGCTGTAGCAGTTGCTTCTGACAAGACTGCCGTGCGCCGGTCATACGAGCCGGTTGCCTGAGCAGTATACAATCATGCAGAGCTCAAGTGAGGAAACAGACTCTGGAGGGCTGCTCTGAATGACCATGTAACAAACCCGAACCTAAAGTCCCAGCAATCCGCACTTCGCACTTCTCTCACCTCTCTGTTTCAACATTCCAATCCCCCTGTGTCTGCCGAGCTGCGCTTTCGCTGGCTGGGAAGAAGCCGATCCACCTTCGGTCATCGTGGGCCTATTCGCCTCGCTCCGGGCGTCGCCCTCCTCTGCCCGGCCGTGCAAGACGAAGAATGCTTCGATCAGTGGCAGCAAGCGATTCAAGAAGGGTTTCCTGGGTGCACGAGAATTGCCAGCAAGTCAATCAGACTCCAGCTGGTCAACTTAGATGCCTAGGTAGCTAAACGGTATATTTTGTTATGATCCGTAAGAAAAGGATAGAAAAGGTTTGAAAAAGTCACAAGTGGTCGGTTGCTGTTTGACTCGGGTTTTCAACTCAAAGGAAAAGAAACCTCAATCACAGCCCAGCTTCGGAGGAGACGACTGAGTGGCATCCTGACTTGAGAAATTTCTCAAGAAGCGTTGCAGGTATGATTTATCTGTTTGTTTGCCCATCAAGTGTATCATGGAAAGAACGAGGCTTAATTAGTGCGTTGTTACAGAGCAAAAGAAAATAAAAATGTGTTTGAACTTTGAACTGTTCAATCCCAGGTGCTGTTTCAGGCCTTGGTGTTGATGACAAAAGCTTCTGCGCTGGCGTCGCACTGACTTCAGCATCGTCCAGCCGTTCGAGGCTCTTGTCAAGGGCAGTCCAAAGCATCTCTACCCGGGCCTCGTGACAAAGTGAAAATTTATCTTGTCTTATATACAGTATCTCTTGCTTTCCTCCTACTTCCTCTTTCCCTTGTCGCTTTTGGTTATACCCTTGGACCTGTCTTTTCTTGTTGATGTGTCTTCGTTCCTTTAGACCTTCGTTTCTGTTTCTTCGCTCTTCCTTTAAATACAAAGTCTCTCACTACGGAAAGGATCTGAAAAGGGAGGAGTTGCGAATTGATATCTCCAACTGCATCCTTGGGGTTGAAAATGGTTTCAATTGAACGTTCTAGGCCCAGGCGATCGGTTCCAACCAACCACACACTTTAGGGATGTCTCCCAAAGAAGGTTAATTGGATTCTTTCCTGCCCCCTTTCCACAAAAAGAGGTAGTAGAGCAACAAATCGTTCCAAGCGGACCTAGTCCGATAGATTCCAGGAGCTGGCCCAAGTTTACATTGGTTGGCATTCACCCATAGTGTCTCTTTGGATTCCCATGCATCCCTCAATCAAGCTTCAGCGGCTCTACAAGGTGCAAATCCTCATCAAAGCCTTGGGTATATATCTAGAGGTTCTGAAAGGGCAATGTTGCTTTGGCAGGAAGCCGCGTTTTGAGACAAAAACAAAAATATCGAGAGTCTGAGTCTCAAAAAAAAAAATACTGTAGATACATGGACAAAGGAGAACGTTGTCTAAACACAATATTCAGTAAATGAAGAAAGGCCTTAGAAGGAAAATAAGAAGAAACAAAAAACATAGCTTCGTTTTGGCGCCTCCTCGAAGGCGTCCAGCTTCACCTCGGAGATCTTTGCCTCGCGGAAGACCTCTGTGAGGGTCTTCACCTGGGCTCTCGATACCCCCCCGATATCCATCAGCGATGGTTCCATCGCTAGCTTAGCAGGTGCAACACGGGACGTCAAAGAACGTTTGAACAAGCAACGAAACGACGAAAGAAAGGTCTAACGGCCACAGTAAAAATGTTCGTCATGGTAAGACTCGTCTGTACATCGAGCTATTGGCTTCATACCAGCTGGATTGCCAGGGTACTTTACAGACTGTGTGTGTCTATGTGTATTGTATATTATATATATTGTATGTTATATTATGTCTATTATATATATTATATATATTATATATTGGCTTACTATTGTTTGTTCAATCCTTTTGCGACTTGTTTTGGGGAAAGGCACCGTCTATATGTAAATTGATGCGCAAGATGGCTCTGCAAATGAAAAATACTAGTAGCAGTAGCCGTAGCAGTAGATAGTTTGAAAATAGCAGTAGCAGTAGCAATAGTAAAAAGTAGTGGTAGTAGTAGTTGTTGTAGTTGTTGTTGTGGTGGTAGTAGTAGTAGTAGAAGTAGTAGTAGTAGTAGTACTAGTAGTAGTACTAGTAGTAGAAGTAGTAGTAGTAGTAAAGTAGTAGTAGTAGTAGTAGTAGTAGTAGTAGTAGTAGTAGTAGTAG